TCTGAGCCACACAGTATCATGTTTAGTTTTTACCTCCTTGTCTTCTCCCTCACTTGCTTCATATCTGTGTCTCCTCACCTAGGCTGTGCTATCACAGGCTGAGTGGGCACCCAGAAGGCACATAGTACAGATAGAGTCTGGCCAGTTGATTGAGTGGGTAAATGAAATCCTGTTTGTTCCCCAGAGGCTACTCAGCATCAGGGTGCAGCAGCTGGGCAGGCTGTCTGGTCTCCAAGATTCTCCATTCATGTGGATGGGAGCCAGGAGGCTGCATAAGAATCCTCTCTGAGGCTGAGCTGAGGCTTCCATCTCAATGCCTTTTCTTTGGGGGGATAGCACCCAGGCCTCCTGGGAACTCTGTGTTTGGTCAGCCTTTGCAGATGTACAGTGAGCAGAAACAGGATATGAAGCAGATAATTAGGGGAGGCCCCTGGAATTTCCAGGGGTTGAGAGTCTAGCAGGCTGGGCAGGAACCTTCCCAGAACCCATTTGGGCTCAGTCACAGCCCCATCCATCCCCACCTTCCCAGTATGGGTCAGACAGGATCCAAGGCACTTTCGTCTCTGGCATCATTCAAGTTCCCTCTTTAGATTCTCTGATGGGCAACATCCTGCCAATAGCTGGGCACCTCTGGGTTTAAGGCACTTTCTGCCTCCTGAAGGATAAGAAAACTCTGATTGATCAAGCATGTATTCATTCATTTATTCTTTTTCCTTTTGAGAGAGAATTCACATAACCCTAAAATTCACCCTTTTAAAGTATACAGTTCAGTTTTTAGTTTTTTATAAGATTATGCAACCGTAACCACTAACTCTAGAACATTTTCATCACCTACCCCCCAAAAAACACTCCAGTCCCATTAGCAGACTCCTTACATTCACTGCTGTGAGAATGTAAAATGGTGTAGCCACTTTGGAAAACAGTCTGGCAGTTCCTCAAAATGTTAAACATAGAGTTACAATAGGACCCAGTAGTTCCACTTCTAGGTATCTGCCTCAGAAGTATGGAAACATACATTCACACACAAACCTGTACATGAATGTTCATAGGAATATAGGAATGTTCCCTTGTTTCCCCCTCCCCCAGACCCTGGCAACTACTAAGCAACTTTCTGTCTCTGGATTTGCCTATCTCAGCGGTTCTCATCCTGTGGGTTGTGACCCCTTTGGCGGTCGAACGACCCTTTCACAGGGGTCGCCTAAGACCATCCTGCATATCAGATATTTACATTACGATTCATAACAGTAGCAACATTACAGTTATGAAGTAGCAACGAAAATAATGTTATGGTTGGGTCACAACATGAGGAACTATATTTAAAAGGCCGGAAGGTTGAGAACCACTGGCCTATCTGAACATTTCATGTAAATAGAATCATCTGATATGTGGCCTTTTGTGTCAGGTATTCACTTAGCATGTTTTCAAGATTCATCATTATAGCAGGCATCTGTCCTTCATTCCTTTTTATGGCTGATAATATTCTCTGTATAGATATACCACATATACATTCATCAATTGATAGACATTTTTGTTTTCACATTTTGGCTATTACAACTAATGCTGCTGTGAACATTCCTGTGTTCCTATGACCATCTGTGTATAGGTTTTTGTGTGAAGGTATATTTCCATATCTTGAAAAGATACCTAGAGATATCTAGGAGTGGAACTGCTGGGTCCTATGGTAACTCTGTTTAACATTTTGAGGAACTGCCCAACTGTTTTCCAAAGTGGCTATACCATTTTATATTCTCACAGCAGTGAATGTGAGGGGTCTGATTTCTCCACATCTTTGCCAACATTTTTTAGTGTCTATCTTTTTTATTATAGCCATCCTAGTATATGTGAAGTGATATCTCATTGTGGTTTTGATTTGCATTTCCATGATGGCTAATGATGTTGAGCATCTTTTTACTAGTATATGCTGATTGGCCATTTCTGTATCTTCTTTGGCATATATTCATCCATAAGGCCCATTATGACCAGTATGCCCCATTCAGCATTAAGGAGCATAAAGTTTGTATCATGATGATCTTTGCCTTTCAAGGAACTTGCCAACTGGTAAGAAAATTGTAATTAGTACATATGAAAAGTTAAGGTTTCATAGACAAGGTGGCATTTAGTCTGGGCCTGGAGGTAGGTAATATTTGGATTCAAGGAGCTTGGCGGAAAGACATTCTGGGCAATTGGAATAATGTAAGCAAAGGCACTTTGTAATTAGAAAAATATTTTATCTTGTGATGAATTCTAAATCAATACAGAGTGGGGCAAAAGTAGGTTTACAGTTGTGAGTGCATGAAACAGTTTATTCTTATATTGTTATTTATTAATTATTATATTATTTTCCATACAAACAACTGTAAACGACTTTTGCCCCACCCTGTTTCTGTAAAAGCACCTGGCATGGCACTTGACACATGGTAGGCTGCTGTTATGTAGTTAGGTCCCTTTACAACTCCCTCTTTGGTCCCCACTCTGTCCTCTAGGACTACAACTGCTCCCTTTTCCTGTTCAGACCTTTCAATATTAGGAGACAGAGCTCCGAGCCAAATAAGCCTTGGTTCCCTGAACTGTGGTTTCAAGTCTTCTCACCATCCTACTCATTTTCTAATGAAATGGCCACAAAGTTTTGGTACCTCTTCTGAATTGCAGTGTGGCATGACCACACTGTGAGGAGTAGGACAGTGTTCCCTTTATTAGAGATTTTATGATGCTATTAATATGGTCTGAGCTTGCATTAGCTTTCTTGGCAGCTGCATTGTATTCCTGGATTTTGTTAAGTTTGCAGTCAGCCCAGGCTACTGAGAACCAGGGCTTCCTGTACTTCTGTAACCTCTTGGTTGGATTTGTTTAACCTAAAGGCAAGACCACTTTAAAGCATTGTATTGCCATGTGAGGAAGAGAGGAGGGGGAAACGGAGGGAGAGGAGGAGGAGGGATGGATTGGGCCTTTCTCATCTTGAGTCTAGGTGAAGGTCTCTTCAAGGGGAAGGTTCTAGAAAGCAGATCTAATCAAAGAATATCTCCGTTCCTCAGATAACTTTCTTTTCACTTAAGGCTTTTCCTCCTTTATCATTTTCTGTTAGTTGGTTAGTCCCATCAGATACATGTCACACGCTGGCCCCAAGCGTATATAGGAAAGAGGGAAGAAGATGGGATATGTGCCTTGGAAGGTAGTATGGTTCAGTAAAGGAAGCATGGGCTCCCGTTCTAGGCTGCCACTTACAGGCTATGTAATCTTAAGCAAATCAGTTACCCTGTGTAAGACTCAGCTCCTTCTCTAATCACAGGATCAGATGTGCTCACACATGTTAAGTGCCTGATGCATAGTAGGCTACTCAAGAAATGTGAGCTTTTTTTGAATTCCACCATTCAAAAGTTTTGCAAGACATGAAGAGCCAAACATGCTGTGTGCTCACTGACCCGGTGCAAGCAGCTCTCAGAGCATCTGTGATACTTAATAACTTAATTTGTGTACTTACTTGTCCCGTTTTCCTATCCCGAATTCTGGCTGGGAGCTCTTTGTAAGCTAGGACCGTATCCAGTTAATCTCAGTGACCAGCACAGAGGCTGGCTTCAAGAAGAGGCTACTTAAGTTTTGTTACTGGAATGAACCTGAATTAATGAAGGCCAAATCTTTGCCCCCACTGTGTAGGGGCCAGGTATTGTGGTTGACTTTGGACAATCTATTCTTTACTGAAAGTCTCATGAAATTCTGGAGCTCGGCAGTGGTGGCTCACATGCCAACCCTATTTGAGAATTTTGAGCCCCCTCTGTGTCTCAATGCCATAGTGTGACAAGCTTCCTGGTAGCTGCCCAGCTGCCCTGTACAGTAGCCTAGAGAGCCCTGCTTTGGAGCCAGTAGGTGGCGCCCATGGCCCTTTCCCACTCTCAGCTGCCTATGTAGGCTTTGCTTCTTGTCACCAAGGCAGCTGCTAACTGGGATGTGGCATGTAGCCCTGGGCAGAGGTACCCAGATGAGGGTGCTCTGGGCTACCCCCTCCACTTTCTGGCCTTATATTGTTGGTTTTCGTGTTTTATTGAATCTCAGCCATGGCACACACCGCTTGGGGAAGCAGAGATGTTTCCTAGAAGATCCCAGGAGATCATTAGGGCAATCTGCTTCTAGCCACCCTTTCTGGCACAGCTCATGCCTTTGACTCCAGGAAGTCGTCCCTGTGTCTCTGTTGCTCTGACCTACACTCATGGTACTTTCTTCCAGGGTCCTTGTTTGTATTTTAGCTGTTTGCCAGGTGTGTAGTTGTCCAGTGAACACCTTGAAGTCAAAGACACTGCAGAATTCATCGAAGTGCCCTTAGTATCCTGATCAGAGTCCTATAATAACCAGTCTCATGAAATGTTTGTGGAATGAATGGGTGAATAACAGGAAGTAGTTCTTCAAAAAATTGTTATTCCAATTGAAGGACATTCTACAAACTAGCCTTACTCTATAAAAATATCATTATTATGAAAATCAAAGAAAGCCTGAGGAATTATTCTAGATGAAAAAAACTGAAGACACATGCAATGTTTTATTCCAGTATTGATCCTGGCTTATATCTGGATCATGGGGCAGGGAGATTGCTATGAAGGATCTTATTAGGATTATTGGAAAAATTAAATATGGGCTGTATATTAGATAAACATTTTATCAATGTTAACTGTTCTGAATTTGATCATTATTGGTTAGTGATTGTATAAGAGAATGTCCTTGAACTAGGAAATACGTGCTGAAGTATTCAGAAGTAATGGGGGATAATATCTGAAACTAACCCTCACATGGTCCAGGAAAAAATAGGAAGGAGTTGGTAAAGCACATGAGGCCAAATGAACTAAGAATCTGAGTAAAGGGTATATGAGGAGTTTTTCGGTGCTATTTTTGTAATTGTTCTGTAAGTTTGAAATCATTTCAAAATAAGAAGCTAAAAAAATAATCTATACACTTTAGTGTGTGCCAAGTTCCTGCTAGAATCTATAAGAGAGATGGGACAAAGAATGGTTACACCAACACTGGACTTTATTCCATTTAATTCAGCAGTATTCATTGATGTTCTGTAGCTCCTCCTTGGCACCTTTGAACAGATAGAACAATAGTAACAGTGACAACTAACATTTGGAAAATGTAAGTGCTTTCACATACATTATTTCCCTTGGTCATCTCAACACCCTTGTTAGGTAAGTCTGGCAGGCTCATGAGGTTCAGAGGGGTTAACATGACCTGCCCACAGTCACCCAGCCTGGAAGAGACAGGTGCAGGCTCCTATCCGGAGCAGTCTATTCCAAGGCTGATGTTTTCTGAACCTCATCCATATTTGTATGTATAAAAGGAAGAGTTGGATTGGATTGGATTGATGGCTGCAGATCATTCTTCAAATCCAGAAAGTTTAAAGTGCACATTATACCCTGTGCCTGCACTCATAGGTGCTGCCAGTCCTTTCCCCCCTCACTGCCCACCCACTTCCCTTTCAAGTAGCCCAGGCATGACAGTACTGGGACAGGCCAACTCACTGGAGTGAGAACTTCTAGAGAGCTTCTTAGAGCAGCGGTTCTCAACCTGTGGGTCGCGACCCCTTTGGGGATTGAACGACCCTTTCACAGGGGTCGCCTAAGACCATCGGAAAACACATACATAATTACATATTGTTTTTGTGATTAATCACTATGCTTTAATTATGTTCAATTTGTAACAATGAAAATACATCCTGCATATCAAATATTTACATTACGATTAAAACAGTAGCAAAATTACAGTTATGAGGTAGCAACGAAAATAATTTTATGGTTGGGGGTCACCACAACATGAGGAACTGTATTAAAGGGTCGCGGCATTAGGAAGGTTGAGAACCACTGTTCTTAGAGGAAGGGTCTTGAGCTGAACCTTGAAGGAGAGATGCTCAGTTCAAGTAGCAAATGCAAAAGGTGCCTGAGAGGCCTTGTGTCTGTGGAGTTAGAGCCCCAGAACCCTGCCTGAAGTGGCTGGCCCAGGCTGGGGTCTGAAACCGCCTTTCCTACTTTGCCCGCCCCTCCCAGCCCAGCTGACTGGGTAGATGAGGCACAGATGGAGGCTCTGTGTGGATTCTAGCCCCAGGCGCCTTGCCTCTGCTCAGACAGCCTGGCCTGGTGCTGTTATTACTGTAAACAGGACCTTCTGCGAGGCTCCAGCCAGGGCCGTGTTGCCTAGATAGTGATCATGATTGAGTCTGCATGGCTCACTGCTTCCAGGCCTCTGATGCAGGTGGGACAAGGCTCCTAACCCATCAGCCCCCTCCCCAGCTGCAGCTGAGGGCCCATTGCGAAGGATCCGGAAATCAGTTGGAACAATGCACAATTGAAGTTCAGTGGCCGCTTTGTATTGATTGGTTGTAAAGGAGGAGGAAGAAAAATCAAGTGGTAACTCCCTCTCCAGAGTAAGCAAGCTGGTTAGCCAGAATAACTCAAAACTGCCCCATATCCTTTGTGGGACACTTCCCCTCCCTCCTCCATACAGCAAGCCTGAGGGGCTGTCTTTTCTTTGGAAGTCTTGCTGATGCCTATGTCTGCTAGGAATCCACTTCTCAATTTTTATGCTACACCTATTTAGAATCCTAAGATTTTAGAACCAGTAGGGACTTGAGGGACCATTTAATTCAGTTCCCTTATTTTACTGCAGAGAACAGTAAGGTTCAGAGAGAGTTATCCAGAATCATGTGGCTAGTTACTGAGAGGGTCGTGACTGGGCTTCTAGCCCAGGTTTATGTCTAAGTTTCCTCTGCCCTGAGAGTGAGAAGCTGCACCCGCACCTTCTACATATACACAGGCACCTAAGTTCTTTGGAAGAGTAAGACACGCAAGTATAAAACAAGTAACTTCCAACACAAGACAGACATATTGGTGGACCATGCTGCTACTGGGGGAGGGAGACAAGGAAACTGTGAGAACTGTTATACAGGTTAGCAGAGACACGGTGTCAGCATCAAGGCTGACTTAGGGAAGACTTCGTAGAGGAAGAAAGAATACATTTTATTTTTTTCCTAAGAAAGTTTTGTGTGTGTTTTTTTAAAGTAATAGTATGCTCATTGTTACAAAAAATAAAACTTAATACAGAAATCTTCATAGCAAGAAGTAAGTGTGGCTCCCTCATTCCCCCTCTCCCTCCCCAATCAGAGGTAATCACTATTGCCTGTTCGGTCTGTAGCCTTCAGAACTCTCTTGGATCTCAGAGATCGGAGCAGATTTGTTTTCCCTTTGATTTGTTACTCTTCTGTGGAAGTCCTCAGCTCTTGGGCTAACAAATCCTTATTCTACTGCAGCCCTTACCAGGGAATTTGAGACCATTATCAATCCACAGAAAAATATGAGGACTTATGTTCTAAGTTCTATGCATACCTTTCATATATCTATGTCCTTAAAATGGGTAGACACTAATTTGAAAACGATAATAGCATAGGCTCTTGTATTTGTACATTGCTTTATTGCATATCAAGTATTTTTACAGATTTTGTCTCATTGTCTCTTCATGGTACCCCTGTGTGAATATGGAGCAGTGTTGGCAGTCTTCTATGTTTTTCAACAGATGTGGAAACAAGCTCAGAGTGCCAGGAGCTGTTACTCAGATGAGGGGACTAAATGAGGGTCAGAAAGGCTAAGTCAGTCATTCATCCACAGCTACCCACCAGCAAGTGCCAGAGTCTGCATTTGAACTGGGGTCTCTCCTGCTTATTTTCCTGCCCTGCTCTACCACTTGCAAGCTGTACAAGAGTTGGAATTCAACTCTGGACTACTAGTGTGGTCTCTTTATCTACTGTCCTGGGTCACCCCTAGTTAGTGTCACCCACCCCTGCCCTGCCAAGCAGGAGACCTAGTTCATTAGGGAAGGGCCTTCTACAGTGCAGAAAAGCCTGCAGTGCCCACCCCCACTCCCAGCTCCTGGACACAAGCTGCTCTACCCTGAGTGGCAACCTGCATTAAGCATTCCACTCATCATCTCTGGGATGATGGAATCCTAACCTTTTCGGAGACACCGTGCTCTGTCACAAGCATTGCTCTTTTTAAAAGAGATTAATTCACTTGCCGCATTTTGTCCATTGGTGAAAATCATAGGGGAGACCAAGGGTGACTTTCTTAGGCCTCAGAGGCCCTTTCAGCCACTCTCAGCAGGCAGCCACCCGCCCAGCTGGCCCAGGACTTTGAAATAACTGCCTGCTGGGCATTCACTTGCAAAGCAACAAAATGAAATGGAGGAGACCTGGGTTTGGGAAATCCAAACTTTCGGGGCTACTGTATACCCGGAGGGGAAGTAGGGAGCAGGCCGAGGGGCCCACCCAGCTCCTAAACTGGAAAAGCTGTTTGTACTTGGGCTGATTCTTGGTGGAGTTTATGTTTGTTCTGATCCTTCCTTGATCGACCAGGTGCCATCATTCCTGCCTCTTTTAATCCCTACAACCACCTTGCACAATGGGGATTAATATCCCCCATTTCACAGCTAGTAAGTGACAGAGCCAGAATCTGAACTCCAGCTTTTAGACTTCAGGGTCATTGCTTTTTCTATTATGCCTCAGCCCCAAGAGGCTGCAAAAAATGATGCTCAATAAGGAAGCTGGGTAGGGCTCAAAAGCTGAGTCGCACTGAAGAACACTAAGATTTGTCGCCTTTGAATGATCCCTCAGGTTTGTGGAGCCCTTTCCCTCAGATTGAACTGTCACCTCCTAAAAACCTAGTGGACCCATGAAGAATTTGAAGCTTAGAGAGATGATATGACTCCCCTAGGTTGTAAGAGTAGAAGGTGGCAGAACTAGAACTAGAACCCAGGTCTCCTGACTCAGTCCTTTGCTCTTTCAGCTCTATTAATTGAAAGAATTAGCAAGTTTAGGGGAGCCCGCTCTCCCAGCAATTCCTCTTCCTAAAAGAACCCTGCAGTGTACAGAAAAGGAGACCCAAAAATGCTATTACGCATATAACAAGTAGCCCAGAATTGTCGGTAATCAGAGGCATGTAAATTAAAACAATAATATGAGATCCTTTACACCAGTTGGACTTGCAGTGCTAGGAAGCTTGCTACTTACAAGTGTTGGCTGGGAGAGTGGTACACAGGGGCACCCCTGTCCTGCTGATGGAAGGGTAGATGGAGCAGCTATCCTGTAAAGGATGTTGGCACAATTAGTCAAGCCAAGTAATGTAAACGCTATAACTCAGGCATCTCACTCTGAGTGCATGCTCCAGGGAAATACACATGTCCAAAGGGCACATGCAAGAGGATGTTCTTTGAGCATTACTCTTGTGGAGATGGGAAAGCAGAGAAGGAAAATCTGATAGGATGTGGCATGGAAAATTACTTAGCAGCTTAAAAAATGGAATTGTATACTTAGCAGTATGAGCATATCTTAAAGTGCAATTTGTGAAAAAAGTAATAAATACAGACACACACACATATATATACACACACACACACACACATATGTAGTCTTTTGTGTGTGTGTGTGAAACTTTCAGACTTTATTTATTTATTTATTTACTTATTTTTTTAATCCTCACCCAAGGGTATTTTTCCATTTTTTTTTAGGGAGAGTGGAAGAGAAAGAGTAAGACAGAAATATTGATATGAGAGAAACACATCAATCGGTTGCCTCCTGCACAAGCCCCGACCAGAGCCTGGGCTGGGGAGGAGCCTGCAAGCATGGTACATGCCCTTAACCAGAATCAAACCTGGGACCCTTTGGTCTGTAGGCTGACACTTTATCCACTGAGCCAAATTGGCTAGGACCATTCCTTTTTTTTTTTTTTTTTTTTTTTAGTATATTTATTGATTTTTTACAGATAGGAAGGGAGAGGGATAGAGAGTTAGAAACATCAATGAGAGAGAAACATCGATCAGCTGCCTCCTGCACACTCCCTACTGGGGATGTGCCTGCAACCAAGGTATATGCCCTTGACCGGAATCGAACCTGGGACCCTTGAGTCCGCAGGCTGACGCTCTATCCACTGAGCCAAACTGGTTAGGGCAAGGACTATTCTTTATATATATACTAGTGGCCTGGTGCACAAAATTCGTGCATTTTGTGGCGGGGGGAGTGTCCCTCAGCCTGGCCTGCACCCTCTCCAATCTGGGACATCCTTCTCGCAATCTGGGACCGCTGGCTCCTAACTGCTCGCCCGCCTGCCTGCCTGCCTGCCTGATTGCCCCCTAACCGCTCCCCTGCCAGCCTGATCGCCCATAACTGCCCTCTCCTGCCACGACCCGCCTCCTCTGCGTGAGGCGGCAGAGACGCCAGGACTGGCCTCCTCACTGTGCAGAGCCATGGGACCCCCAGGCCTCACCGCACAGAGCGGCGCTGGGCCCCATCTGCTGTGCGCATGGCCATCTTGTGGCGGCCACTTTGTGACGATGTCGTGTGCAAGGGCCACCTAGGCTTTTATTAGTATAGATTTAAAAGCCTGGTTGGGCCCTGACCGGTTTGGCTCAGTGGATAGAGCATCGGCCTGCGGGCGCAAGGGCCCCAGGTTCAATTCTGGTCAAGGGCATGTACCTTGGTTGCGGGCACATCCCCAGTAGGGAGTGTGCAGGAGGCAACTGATAGATGTTTCTCTCTCGTCGATGTTCCTAACTCTCTATCCTTCTCCCTTCCTCTCTGTAAAAAAATCAATAAAATATATTTTTTTAAAAAATAAAATAAAAGCCTGATTGGCTTAGGTCCTAAATAGCAAGAACCTCTGTTTTGTCTCCTTGTCAGTAGCTAGCATATGCTTGGACACAGAGCATGTCAGTGCACATGCTTGTTGTATAAATTAACACAGGAGTGCCTAGAGCCAGCCTGGTTGAATTATCTAGGTGGTCCTATGTGACCCTGTCTCAGAACCCCTGAGTACTGGCCAACTTCCCATTACTGGCTTGAGACCAGAACACCTTGTTCCCTCAGAGGACTAGAAGTAGAATAGGGTGGGAGGTAGAAATTACCTGTCAAGCTATATGCCAGGCATTATGCTGCAATCGCTGTAAATTAGAGTTTATCATCCCTAATTGATAGGTTAGAAAACTGAGACTCAGAATTGATTTGCTCAGGGTTATTCACCTGGACCAGAATTTGAATTCCGGTCTTTATTCAAAGCCCTTTATTCATCCTTTTTCTTTTTGTTACACTACACTCAGCCCTCAAGGGGCAGGAGGAGGAGGCATCTCAATCTTCTTTTTTAGGCTCTGTCTCCAGAGCAGTGCTGCTTTCAGAATTCTCTGAGCCCAGCCAGGCAGGGGAACACGGATCACTGGCCCACTAAAGGCATGAGGGATTCTGGCTGTGCTGTTTCTCCTAGCCATGTCCTGCTTTCTCATGTCTCTGCCCTAGCTCATCTCTTTAGGTCTGTATTAGAACAGTCTCCAAACTGGTCTACTTGTCCCCGTTTTCTACTCTCTTCCCTTTCAGATTCAGCCTGCTTAAGCTATTAGGGTAATTTTATAATTTCTTTTGCCCCAAAACCTTCAATGACAACCATACTCCCTATGTTGAGAGTCTAAGGTATAGCAAATAGGTTTCCTCTCTGTTGCCAGCTTCAGTTGATCGATGGTAGTTGATTGGAACCAATGTTGAGGATTCTGAGGGTCTTTCAGAGGCCCCACAGGAAAGAACTGCTTGGAGAGATTTGTGATTTCTGACTTAGATGCAGGAATGCAGGACAGTAGCACACATGTCAGGCATTTATCAACTCTTTAGGTTTTGTTTGTTTGTTTTAAATATATTTTATTGATTTTTTACAGAGAGGAAGGGAGAGGGATAGAGAGTTAGAAACATCGATGAGAGAGAAACATCGATCAGCTGCCTCCTGCACATCTCCTACTGGGGATGTGCCCGCAACCCAGGTACATGCCCCCGACCGGAATCGAACCCAGGACCTTTCAGTCCGCAGGCCGACGCTCTATCCACTGAGCCAAACCGGTTTCGGCAGCTCTTTAGGTTTTTAACCTAGAGTCCACTATTTCATGAGGACCTGTGAACCCCTGGACATTGTATGTAAAAAAATTGTGTGTGTGTGTGTGTGTGTGTGTGTGTGTGTGGTGGGGGTGGAGGGGTTGTACGCTCCTGTACACTTTTCTGGAGCCATCAGCTTTGATCATATTCTAAAAGAAGTGCATAACTCAAAAAAGGTTTATGCCCACGGCCTTGCCTCCTAGCTTGGGTTTGAGGCCCTGTTGTTGGCCCTGAATACCTCAGCAGCTGTTTCTCTACTGTGAACTGTCACCCAGATGGGTCTAACTGATTGTCTCTGAACATACCTTCACATTGCTTCCCTGCTTCTGAGTAGTATCCCATTCCTTGTGTCTTGACTGCCTTGCACTTCATCCCTTGTCTCTAAACTCTTCCGTTCTTCAAGGCACAGTTCAAGTCTTTCCCTTCACAGATCTCTGATTTGGTCCTAATAGTCTAGTCTTCTGGATTGAGGAGCAGAGAAGTGAGGCCATCTGATCAAAATCAAGGATCCAAGACTCCAGTCTTTTACTTCTCAGAACCCTGGGCTCTCCACAGCACCACGTAGCCTGCACACTAGGGAAGGTGTGTAAGTTAGGAAGGAAGCTTTGTACAAGAGTTGTTTCGTGTGTGGTTTTTTTTGTCTCATAGAAAATTCATCCCCAAGATTTCGCCTCTTTAGCATTCTTGGCCATAGAAAATTGTTCCTGCATAAAATAAGTTTAACAGTATATATGGTAAGAGGCCCAGAAGAAATCCTCCAAACTAGGCATGAGAGATGAGGGTTTCCCAGCCTCCTCTCCTGACACTCCCTCCTTACATTGCGTGCCCCAATAATGCCAAACCTCTTTCAGATCCTCATGTACCCCATGCTGTCTTCTCTGGGTTAGAGGCTTTACCTCTACCGGGAGCACTCCCTCCCCTCCCTCGTCTCCTTTTGTCTGGCTAGTGCTCTATGATCACCTCCAAAGAGAGACCTCTGGGTCACTAGACTGGGTTAGGTTCCCTGGTTGTGCACCTGCAACCTGCAGTCCCCATTCATAGCACTCATCTGATGTATACGTATGTGCTTGTTGGTCTGTCTTCCCTACTCAGGCTTTGTGTCACTTTATCCTCCCAAGCCTTAGTCACCTGCTTACTAAACCGCACCGAGTTTTTATTTGGCTTGATCCAGAGGATCATTTACTACACAAGAATGGTACCAGGACTCAACTCCAAGCTTCTGGATTCTGTCAGTGCCCTTTCATCTAGAACCCACTGAAGAGGAGTCAGCCTCCAGTTCCCCCAAATACCCTCCCCCCTTCCTCCTAAGCAGTCCCTGCCTTGTTGGTGAATCACTCTTGACTTTTGGTCCCCTCCTTCCTGGCCTCCTATAGCATTACTGGTGGGTTCCACACACTATAGGCTTTGGTTTCCTACTGTCTTGAGTCCTTCCCCACAACCAAATTGTATAGTTCCCTAGGGTAGACCCTCTGCCTTTTCCTCATCCCAGAATCTAGCATTGAATCCAGCACATATTGTGGATTTGCTGGAGTCAATTTAGTTTTTTGTCTAACATGTGACATGGAATCAGGTTTAGAATAGAGGAAGGGTGGTCAGGTGAGAAAGATTCAGGCTGTAGAGCCGTTGTTGACCTGGATTTCAGTCATTGTACTGCCCTTTTACTTGCTTTGTGACCTTCAGTGTGTCATTTCACCTCACTATTACGCCATCCATGAAAAGAGCTTAGTATCATCTCCTTAAGCTTGTGCAAAGAGTAAATGAGAGCATGTATGTAAAGTTCTGAAGGCAGTTCCTACTTGTAGTATGTGCTCAGGATTGAGTCTATTTATTCCCCTTCTCTCTATCCACTTCCACATTGTAGAGCCCCTCTGTTCCCAGGACCCAGGATTCAGGCTTTTAGTAGTATACTTATAGCCCTGTGTTAGTTAATTTATCCAACAGCTATTGAGCCCTTACTACATGTTAGGCACTGGCATATAGAGTCAAATAAGTTCTTGTGGACCTCCTAGAAACCTAATTTAGCATTTCTATCATTGTTTCCATCTTTCCTTGGGTTAAAAAATTTCCAAGTTTCAAACAGCCACCATACAGAGAAAGGAAGAGAGTGATCCTTTTTTAATCTAGGAACTACTTAGATAAGAAGTGTCCCTGGGCATTTGGTGCTAAGCACGGGGAAATTCTAAGGAAGGAAGAGAGATCTGTGGACTGAATGAGTCAAGGAAGCCTTCTCAGGGCGAGTCCTCAGTCAGGATTGTATCCCATGGCATGAAAGTGGGATTAGAACAGGCATAGAGGCAGCGGGAGAGAGCATTCTGGACTGAGGGAGGAGGAGTGTCAGGGTACGAAGGTAGGGAAGGCAGATTTTTTTTCAGAAGGCTGGGAGAATAACAGCAAGGGGCAGGCTCCTTTAAGGGAAGAGAGAGAGAGAGAGAGAGAGAGAGAGAGAGAGAGAGAGAGAGAGAGAGAGAGAGAGAAAACCTGGAGTTGGGGAGACTGGCTAGAGGTGCTGGGATGGATATTGAATTCTCAAAAGCCTCTATTCCTGTTTGTTGGCTATCTCATTTCTTCACTCTTAGGTCCATGGGAAGCCGTACACTGAAAATATTTCTCTCTTTCTAGGCTGTTGTCGGAAGGTGCAGATGTCAACGCAAGGCACAAACTTGGCTGGACAGCACTTATGGTGGCAGCCATCAGCCGAAACGACAGGTAGGAGGTCTCCTTTTACACAGGGCTTCCTTAGCCAGATCTCTGCAGATCACATTACTGAATCCTCTCTCACCCTTGCCTGTCGTGCTGCTGTCTTCTCCAGAGGCAGGAAGGTGAACTCAGCTTAAGGAATTGATTTGTACCCAGTGCAATGGAAAATGTAGGAGATGTTGAGAGAGAAGATATAGCTGTGAATTCCAACTCACTGACTTTGTGACCTTAGATAAGTCATTTGCATTACTGAAATAACGAAATGTTTGAAAGCCTGTCAATAAATGTAATTTTAAAAAAAGAAAGAAAGCCTGTCATAAGCAATTAAGTTAAGTGTACTTGTGTGAGTTATCCACCATTTACCTGTGTTGAGAAGTCGACAATCTGTCCCCATTGAGGGCTTCTCTGGGCTATTTCTTTGGAGGTTCTTTGGAAATTGGAGAAGGTGGGGGCATTCCTGCCCTCCCATTGGAGGCATGCTATTTTCCTACCTGTTTGCCCATTCCTTTAGAATGTAGCTGTTGTGTAAAGATCTAAATAGTCTACTTTGTGTAGAGAGTTATCGCTAATTCTCACAACCACCCCCACAACATATATGTTATTCTCATTTTGGAGGTAAGAAAATTGAAGCCCAAAGAGATAAAATGATTTGTTTAAACATTGTTTGTGGGTAGTTTTTAATCGCGCGCTAACAGGTGGCGTGGGCCATTTTTGCTAATTTTTTGCGCAAATGGCAACGTTCGGTAAAATTACGATAACTTTAGTTTACGTATTTATACATTACCCGCATTCTACGGCTAGTCTATAAAAAACGTATTAATACGTGTCCCGTGCTCTACTACCAGTCAACGTAAAACGTATAAGTAAAACGTATAAATACGTTTCCCGTATACAATGTGTTAAGGTTACACAGACAGGATTTAGGACCTGGTCTGGCAGCCTACAAAGTCTGTGTGTTTTACTATATATACCTCACTGCTGCCTCCCTCTGCCAGATCCCAAGCTCGTGTTGAGTGCTGCCTTTCCATCCCACTATCTAACTGTGAATGTGCAAAATAATTGATTAAATAAGAGCAAAAATAAATGCTTTTAAAGAGAGTGATCTACTTTAGTAGTAGCCACTGTAATTGATAGTTGGAGGTACCAATTTTAATTTTCCCTTCCAGCAGACCTTTAAGGCTTTTATGTGCCGGTCTTAACCACCTTTGGAAAGGTCATAAATGTGATGGAAACCAACAAAACAGGAATTTTATAATATAGGGGTGGCACTGCCTCAGACTGCCTGAAAGACTTACCTGTACTTGAGATAGGTCTCTCTTCTCTGCTCTTCTGTTGTGAACTTGTTCTCAGCATGGGGAAATTCTTAGGCTCAAGATCAGCACTCCACTTCCTTATTTGCCTCTAGCTCCTAGCACTTAGTCTTTTAAAAGAAAAACTGATGTAAGTGGACTTTGCAATTGAGACCTGGAGTTTAGTCCTGGTTCTGACCCTTGGTTGAGTTTCAGAATTCTATGGACATCGTTTCTCCACCTGAAATTAATCATTTCTACAAACATTTGGTAAGTATTTACTCTGAGCCAAACTCTGTGCTAATCATTGGGTAATCAGAGACCTTGGGAGCTCATGGCCTAATGCAGGTAGAGAGAGTATAGTGTAACCAGTGGTGTCAGAGCAGTGTGAACAGGATATTATCGAAGCAGAGGGTGTGAGAGAACTGAATCTGGCAGCAGAGTAGATTCTCGCTATGTGCTCATGAGAATCAAATGAGATAATAATATATGTGCTCTAGGTTACAACTGGTGAGTTGCTATTCTCAGCTCACATAGACCTCTCTATGCAAAAATGCACGTTTATTCTACCACTGATACTCCACCTACCACCACTTCTACCCTACCCACTAGTCTTTCCCAGCTTGCAGGTGTCTCCATCTGTAAGAGACAGACAGTGGTGAAGAAAAGGGGTTGGGGAGGAGTGTGCCCTTATGTGTAGTATATTTTCAATATTGGAACAGAATTGCAAATACACTATACTTAAGAGTACTGTCAATCAGTGAACAGATAGCTAGTAGCAATGTGCTTTGGGGACACTTCTTTCTGAATCTAATGAGTTGTTGGTTTAACTGATGGCCTGTCTTTATCCAGGGCCATTAGCACATCAGTGATGTTCATTGAGCAAAGTGAGAGTGTTGGCTTGTATTTATTTGCTTTGGTTCCTAGAACTAATTATTGGTGTATTAAGTGTTCATTTTGTGCCCTCCTCGTTCTTCCAGTACCCAGAGAAGACAGATTTTTAGTGAAAATAGCATACTCTCAGGTTGGTTTATTTATTCATATCACAAATTTTGGGGGACACCTACTGTTTGCCAGGCACTGTTCTTGACAAAGATCCCCACCTTCATAGAGCTTATTTCTATACAGATGGTGGTCCCTGAATAGAGAGAGGCAGGGACAGACAATAAACAAATATAGTGCAAAGTAACCCACATAATATATTAGAAGGTAAGAAGTGCTATGGAAAAAAGGAAAAGTAGAATCTGGTAAAAGGGAATCTAAAGAGTACATTAATAAGAGTGAGTAGGCCCGTTGGTAAGGCGTCCTGGGAATAGTCCTGAAGAATTATCACTTCCATAACCAGCACAACCTACCAATAAAGTTTTTCTTTATTGGAGGTGTGCTGATGCTAATCTAACCAGTCACCAAACCCTCTGGAATCATATTGGCCAGGCCTGAAATGCCACCACCTTTTAATTGAGTTTGGATGAAGGGAAGGTAGAGGGGTAGCCCTTGATTCAAGGCTAAAAGCCGAGAATCGTCATCTTTAGAATATTGGCAGTCCAAGTTCAAGGGAGAGATCCTGAAAGTAGCCTAATCATTTCATCCTTAACTGCTTTATTGCCTTTAGTGATTACTTGCTTAATATGTTAAATCCTTAGGGACATAAAACAGAATAGTCTCTATTCTTAAGGAGACTAACTTCATGTGAACTTTTATTTATGTATGTATTTGTTATCTTATTTAATTTTGAATAGTACTATTTTATTTTAGTTTGAATAGAGGATACAGTGCTATAGAACAAAAATTTTAAAAGTCTATATGAGAATTTAATTTATAATTTATTTCTTCCTTTTATTTCCAAAAAGGGTTTGAGGTGACGTAAATTAAAATACAAATATAAATGTACACAGGAGGGTTAAACTGGATCAAGATCAGAAATCATATTGGTAAAAGGAAAGATAATTGTATCAGGATTGAACCAGAGATTTTCTTTTCCGAAAATAGGTTTATTGTTTTTGTAAAAATAATATAGAAGAAGAAAGTAGCAGTGAACTGAATTCCCTCTATCTAGAGACTGATCATTGTGTGTATGTGTAATTTTACAAAAATGGGACCATGCCACACTCACTGTAAATCAAATAATTAGTGAAATCAAGTATTAATTTAGATTGGAGTTCTCCAATGAGCATGGCAAACAAGGGACAGAGAGTTTGGTTCTTCAGGAGAGGGGAACTTTGTTCTGACATTCCTTCATATTATCATTTCATGCATCCAGTAATATTTTTCAAACTATACTGTGTCAGGTGCTAATGTGCCAGGCTATGAGGAGATTCAGATAATAAGCATTACAACCTTTGCCTTAAGCTTACTGGGACTGCTGACATCAAGGACTTGAATAATGTGATGGCCATTGTCTTCAGTAGCCATTCTGCCAAAGATTAACCAACCTTCTAACTAGGAAAATCCTTTTGCCAGCCCTCTCCATCCACAGTGCGCTCTCCATAAGCCTCATGCCACAGGCATTTATTTAACCTGAGTCTGGGTGCCTCATTCTGTGTTGTACTCTGACCCAGTCCAGCTAAAGGCTAAGCCACAGGGTCCCAGGATGATCACTGTGAATTAGCATAGCCTTTACCGGCTCGTGCAAATATACCCAGCCTTGAGTTAAATTCAATTAGTTTTTGTTTAAGAAGGGAAAGAAATCCAATTTTATCAAACATGGACAGACGGTGGAAGGCACTTTGATGTTACAACCTCTCAGTGATGCTTTACTTAGTCACAAGTTCATAAGCAAGAAGGCTTAATTACTTGGGAAAACACAGGATTAAAACTGGATACAATGGCTGAGTATCCGCTTTTGGGCGACTTGATTCGAACCCATGCACCCAGTTCGTGTGTGGTGCAAACTTTGATGTGCGCTATGGCAAGCTGAAAGTCATCACCCCCCTCAGGGAAGCTCCTTCATACGGCATTTGCAGGATGTATAGGCGGAGAGGCAGGGCCTGCCCAGGCCTGTTTGCTCAACTTTGATGTCCAAGCAGCCACAGGCTCCACTGTTTGCTCTTCCACTGAGGGATGGATTGGGAGCCTCCTACCTTTCCCAGTGGACAATGGCCAGCAATGGAGTGTGACGACTGTTGACCATTCCAGGAGCCTGGCAGACCAGAACAGGGCTTTGGGAGGTGCAGAGCCTGGGAGGTCAAAAGCTGTTTATAGGAGAGCCATTTCTCCAGATGTAGCTTTCCTTAAAACCTAATGTTGGTTGAGTTTATAGTGGAAGTAAAAATAGTCTCATGAGTTTTAGCAGGTACCGAATGTATTGTTTGATCCTCTGTCCAGTAGCACTAGGTATTTGTAAATTGAAAGTTTAAGTCTTTCCTATTCCCTTTATCCATGTATATGCAGGGGATAGTGGTTTAGAAAGAAAATGGTATGATTTAGATCCTTATAATTTCTAATTCCTCAAAAAAGAAGCTGTCAAAACACATTTGATAAAGGAATGATATCCAGAAGATATAAAGAACTCTTATAAATCAGTAAGAAAAGGACAAACAACTCAATTTTTTTTAATAGGCAAAAGATTTGTGCAGACACTAAAAAGAGAGATGGATGGTAAAGCACATGAAAAGATACTCAGCATTAGTCATTTAGGGAAATGCAAATTAAAATCATGAGATACCACTACATACCTATTAACTACAATGGCTAAAATTTAGAAAAATTGACAATACGAAGTGCTGACAACGTTGCAGAACAATTGTCATCATTGCTGATAGGGGTGCATGATGGTATAGCTACTTTGGAAAACACTTTGGCAGTTTCTTATAAAGGTAAAGGCAGTTTCTTACCTTACAATCCAGTAATACCAACTCCCAGGTACTTGTCCACAAGAAATAAAAACATACATCTACAGAAAGGCCTATATGTAAATATTTAAAGTAGCTTTATTCATAATCACCAAAAACTAGAAATCACCCATATATCCATCAACTGGTTAATGGGTGGACAAATTATGGTGCATCCATACAGTAAACTACTATGCAGCAATAAAAAACAAATGACTCATACATGCAACACATGGACAAATCTTAAAAGCTTTGTGTTAACTTAAAGCCAGACACAAAAAGTTACCTACTTTAATTCCAATTATATGACAGTCTGGAAAAGAAGTAGTTTAGGGACCGAAATCAGGTAAGTGTTTAGGAACGGGAGGAAGGGCCCAAAGTCTTTCCTATTGGAGTGATAAAAATATTATAAGTCTTGATTATGGTGGTGGCTATACAACCAAATCTCATCAAATTGTACATCTTAAAAGGGTAAGTTTTACTATGATAATTGATACTTTAATAGACTGACTTATAAAAAAACTTTTAAAAAGGTCATCCCTCTCTATTTTTCATTATTAATTGTGACTAGTGGCATACTGAAAATACATGTTGTAGTGTCAAAATGAATTCTGTTGTTTATGACCACCTGGAATTCTTGTTGCTGTATCTCACATTAGAGTACTGTATGTTTTGATTGTTAAGAGAGAATATTTGTGAATTCACACGATTCTTGGTGTCATGAAGTATAATTACTGATGAATAATGAAATGATAAATTCACTTTACACGTGGTATAGAGTAGGCTTGTATAAATTCACAAAGCGTAATATGATTCTTCTTTATAGTAAGGAGAAAGTGCAGGGTACAGGACTGAAAGCTTGCCTCCCATCCCACATCATTCTTGGGCAACTTGTCCCTGGACTGCCAAGCAGGGAGATCACCTAAACAGTGTGGCCATTATGGTACCTCAGGAACCAAACAACCCCAAAGAATGGGTGGCGGGAGATTCAGATTTGAGTCCACCTGGCCTTGCTGGTTGCTTTGAAAGCCCCTGCCTTAGAGAAGGTGAGACCCTGAGGCAGAGCACAAAGCTCCAGCAGAACTGTTTGAAATTCCCCACATGAGTCTCCCTCCCTCCTCCTGCCTTTTCTCCCGAAGTGCATTTCATCAGCATCGGAAGGACTGCTTCCCGGCACTGCCTTCCCTGCTTGGCCAACGTCCCTGAGGAGCTGAGCTAATGAGTGGATAACACGCATTTGCCAAGGCCTTCCTGGATGTGGTACCTGGGCTTTGTTAATTTTAAAATG